CAAAATTTTTAAAGTTGAGATGGATTATTTGTTCCAAAATTGAATGATATTTCTCAAATTAAAATAGTTGAGGGGCTTTTCCGACACTCTTTTCATACTTAACCCCTCAAAACTAACACCGTTGAGTCTATTCTATTATATGATGAGTACCCCTCAATCATAAAAGGAGTACATTGGTTTTGGCTAGATGAAAGAAAAAAAGTGATACAGAGGGAAAATCATTGTAAATTGGTTGCAATCCTTTTTATTATCTGTTGATGGCTTTTTTTTAGCTAATATGGGCTTTTTAAAGTGGATATTTCATCCAAATTACATATTGAAGTAATAATAGTAGTGGAGTTTGTTGTGAGAAGTGTAAAAAGCATGGGAGCTTTTATGGGATGAACCTAAGGTTGAGAAGAGGGATTGGGGGGAGGGAGGGGAGGGAGGTTTCTAAAATTAGTGTCATTCAGAGTTGAGAGGCATTATCTACAACATTCCCATGTTTAAGGGGTTTCTCTCAAATAAAATGAGTTGAATGCGTTTATAGAAGCAACTCCCATACTTGAGGGGTTTTCAAAAAAAAAACCATTCTTTTAAGTAAGGCTTATTTACATATTTATCTCTCAAATCTTTAAAAATTCAATATGAGTCCATAAAATTATAAGAATTTTCTAAAATTTTAGGGACTAATATAGAAGTATTAAAAATTTAAAATCGAGGGACTAATATCTAAATAACCTTTAACTTTTTTTCTTATAGATTACTTATATTTCTATAAGATGTTCTTAATTATACAAGTGACATATAATTAATTAATAATGATAATTAATTAAGTTTAGTTAGGATTAGAATGTAATACTTAAAAACAACTAGGGGCAATATTGTCTATGAAAGGTTTTCCCACAATTTTCGCTTTTAAAGGGAGCATGATAGTATATTATATATTTTCAAATAGGATACTGGGTATAAGTTGACAGCTCATTTTGTAAAATGAGTTGCCAGCTCCTTGCCATGTGAGCCACATCCCGATGTGACTGGCACATGTGCTCACTTGACATTGAGCTAGCACCCATTTTAAGAAATGGGCTGTCAGCTCAAATATATTTTTTGCCATCTCCATAGATGTCAATATATATTTAGATATTTTTAACGTAACTTCTCATTTAGTTAGTTATTTATTAATCAAAATAGGATAATAACTTTTATTCGTAGTTGATCAAATCTTAATCAATTTCAGGCTAATTCTCATCCACAATATCCAAAAAAAAAGATAGTGTAAAAATTTCTTCTTACTTTAAAGCTTTTCGATCTTGTGATTTATGTTTTAAGATTTGCGCGTAATAAATAGAAGTTATATGGTGAGATCCACTAAATCCTTAAATATTTACTAAATCTCTTAAAAATCTCATCTTATCTTATGCATCTCATCCTAATCTTCTTTTCGTCTTTTTTTTTTAAATTTCGAAACTGACATATAAATGAACCGATCTTGTTGTTTATATTCTCACTGATTATCAAATTAACATAATTCTCTGTATTATTTTCAGGAAAGAAAATGAAATCGAATCTATTATATTTCTCCAGTTTCTTTTTCATGGGTTACTAACTTTACACTTGTATACATAATGACTTGATTTGAGTGAAAATTTATAAAATTCGCACATGTGAATCCACATTAATATTGTGATGTTTTTCTTTAAAAAAGGAAGGCACTAGTAAAAAATCGTATATCCTAAACGGATTATTCTAAACGGAAAATTTTTCGTCTAGTTTTCTATTAGGGGTGTTTGGTTCAATTTCTAGAAATTATAGGAAATGTTTTCCACTTAAAATATGATTTCCTTGTATTTCTTAAAAAAATTATAGGAAAAGTTTTGATAAATCAAAAAGTACCAATTTTTTTGTTTTTTGTACTTTGCTTATTTGGTTCAAAACAAGAAAATGGCTCATAACTTTATAGAAAATAACAAGATTTGGTAGGTTTTTAAATATTGTTTTTGAGAGGAAATTACTTTTTGTAAAATTTGGTAGGTTTTGATATTTTATAGAAAATATTTCTGTAAATTTTTGTTGAACCAAACACAATTTACAGAAATCTCTGAAAAACTTTTAATTACAAATTTGTCATTGTCAGATGTTTTGAGAAAAGTTTTTTTAAAAAGTGTGCAACCAAACAGCCCCTTAAACTAGACGGAAAATTTCCGTCTAGAATATTCCGTCTAAAATAAAACATCCTAGACGGAATCTTTTTGGACCAACATCCTAGACGGAATTCCGTCTAGGATAACTTTTTTAGACGGAAATTTGACTTTTCTAGACGGAATTTTCCGTCTTAGGATACTCCATTTTTTAGCAGTGAGCTCTCCCAAATGCATTTATTCGTTGAAGATGGCTTCTCCATTCTTCATCGTGATTTTGGTTTGAAAAAGAAATTTAGAGGACGACTGATGGGATCTATTTCTCAAGCTAAAGAAAGATTTAATTCAGTTATATATCTGTTTCAAGATTTAGTTCAGTTATATATCTGTTTCTCGTGAAAATGATACATGAAGATGTGAGTGGATATAAGATAGATAGCAAAAGATAAAGTCCGTAAATAATGGTGTTAGATATTAAAGGAAGAGAGAAATTGAGTATTTTTAAATCTGTTTCGAAAGTAAAAAGTATAAGAGGTTTTAAAAACTTATAATATATATAAGATAATATATTTTATGAATTCTTGAGGGTAGTATTGAGCACGGAAAGTTTTTTTTTTTCCAGACTCACACTTTTTAACAAAGTATGGTATTTTTCTTGTTAAATATGTATTCATGTTCAATTTGGTGGATATATAAATGAGTTTTCCTTGACGAATTATATATTTTTTCGCATCAAAGTGAATATATCCTCTCTCAGATCCCTAAAGTTTGATTATAGAGTTAAAATTCCATTAAATAGTGTCAAATTGAAAATGAAGATTTATGCTCCCAAAATAGAATGTCGGCCTTAAAGGTAGTTTGATATTTGGGTCCTCCATGGTATAATCATAATGGAAAGTTATAGACTTGGGCTTTAAGGATATCTGGATAACAAAAGCACTTAACGAGCACGTCCAAAATCCAGACTTACAACTTGGGCCTAGGTGAATTCGGCCTCGCGATGTTGCATTGTTCTTTGTTTTGATCTCATATCCAAAATTCAAGCCCACAAATAAACTTAACATTGGAATACGACTAAGGATAACATTTTCTAAGGATTACTTGCTGTTCTGGCGATCATAAATACTAAAATAAATTGTATGTGAAAAAATAAAAATAAAAATAAAAAATCATGTAAACTTGGCAATAAAAATGAGTATTTAAATGCAAATTTAGTGTTCAATTAGTTAAAAAACAGATGGTATACATAAGAAATGTATTTCTATTACAAATTGAAAATTTGTTAAAAATAATTTGCAATTAGGAGCTTTAGTAACTTCATGGCGTACTATTAAATTTTTTTTTTTCGAGTGCGGCATAGTGGAGGGTTTGCCGTAGTCATTGACTACAACAAATCTCGTAATAAATGTGATTTCTTAGTTTATTTCCCGTGAACAAGACGGGATATTAATCATTACTGTCTGGAAAATATTTAGATGGTTAAAAATGTACTTCGTGGACTGATAACTAATAATTATTTGTTAGAACCCACAAAGTAAATAAAATTATTTGTGGACTGATAACTAATAAAATTTCAAAGTAAATAAAATAAATAAATAAAACATATACAAAATTACATTCAAAACCATTGTTCAGGGCATTCATTAAAATTAAAATGTCACAGAAAAGCCAAACTTGCAAGCCACCGAGATCAAGAGCAGGCAAGCATTAAAATTCTGCGCCTAAATATCGGAAAAGATTTCGAGCGGTGAAAATTGCATCTGACATAAAACCA